AATGAATTGTGGGATATCAAAGAATTTTTGGTATCCCACAATTCAATATAATTGAGGTTGCGATATCCCACAATTCCTTATTTTATCAAGAAACGGGTTCTACATGATACACTTTGATTGGTTCAAAATACTAACTTTCGTACGGGTCTTTGGTAGAAAAATCTGTTAGATTACAATGGAGACTAAAACATTAGAAAACTTAAAAGATACGATCTAATTTCAATTTATTTAAAATTGAACAGATGAATTGGATTTTTTTTTCTGATGGGATTAAGGCGAGAATCTTCACCATAATTTGTCATCTTCACATGTATTATAAACTTCATCTATTATACAAGACAAACTTCGTAATACCTTAACATTGTGAAGATGTTCCTTGATTTGAGAAGGACTGTTATGAAGGTAAAAAGTTTCGCTGTGAACGTGACGTTATTAATGCTAGTAATGTATCAATGTGAAGGTCATGTGCAATTTGAAATATAGCTGAATAGGGTGATGTTGTGTAACCGTGTCGGCAATTATAGATGAGCCCGACCCTGAAATCTAACCCAAGCTCTCAGTGGCTTGGTGGTTTTAGAATTTGCACTTAAAGTGATACTACAGAGATTTTCCAAACTTTTTGTGTTTACCAGAGAACTGATCATCGATTGATACCATTCCAATTTTCAATCAGACGTCTTTGGTTATTGCAATTCTACTTAAAATAAATGTGGTATGACGACACTATCGCAAAGTCCTTTTATAAGTAGGATTTGCGATAGTGACGTCACAAAATGTTTAGTGGAATAACGTCTGACTGCAAATTGGAATGGTGCAAACCCATACACAATTTAGAACGCCTCTATACAATTCCCTTTACTTTAAGTCGTTTGTACAGGTTTATATAAGCTAGTTTTTGTTGTGAATGGTATTTTTAGGTCGTTTGTATGGAAACGAAGTAAACAAAATAAGATTGTTTATTGTCCAAAATATCTTTTATATTTTACCCTCGATATCTGAGTTGATATCGTGAACAATTATTATACTTTTATAATAAATATGAGCTATGCCTATAGCTTAAAGGGACAGGTTCTCCAGTATCTCAGAAACAAGAATTATTAATCGACTTAATATTATCTATTCATTCATTTATTCATTCATTTCAGTTAGATATAGGACCTACGATAGAGAGATGGTGCAGAGCGGTATTTGGACAGGATATGACGTGTATTGGTGGTAGATTGGGTGTGACGAGTGGAGAGATGTTTAATCCAATATTCAA